TCCAAATCAATAGTACATCTTTTCCAGAAGGTCAGTGGTGTACAGCCAATATCATAGTCATTGGGATTTAATTCACACATTTACATTTATCATTAACTAGTCATTGATTACAACTTCTAACCTGTTATATTAAGGGTGAATTTTTAGAGAGTTGGGTTGAAATTGTTACTCAATATATTTGAACCATTTGCAGGTGGGTTTATAAGCACAATGCAAATATGCATTGTCATCTATAGCAAGTTGTTTCATTGTGTTACTGCATGTTGTATTTACACCCTCCTCCCTCCACTGTGTACTGCTTGTGATAATAAAAAGAAATCCCTGAAGCTACATGCAACCCACTTAATGGTCAAGGAAGGACAGCACAGCGCTGTCCAAGAACAAGATTTTTTTTTCAGCATTTCATATTAATTGAAAAGTTAACAAACATGTTGGGAAAGAAGCTCTGACGTAAGCCCCTATAGGTGTTTTGAACCACTGGGCCACCAAGAAGTCCCATAGCTACAGGTTTATGAGGCAAACTTGTAAAAATGCATGTAATACAGCAGTCCTGATTTAGTTTTTTGTTCAACCATCATTTAGGGGAAAGAACATTAAAACCCCCACAAAACAGCAGTGTTGTGAGGCTCAGAGGGGTGTGATGTATTGCAGGGCCTATGTTCTGTTCTGCATCAGAATAGAGATATCTCCACAGTACATCAGTGTATAAGAGTCATTGATGAGTCTTAGTAATGTTTGCACATACACTGTGTACAGATGGTCTGGGGGGGAGAGGCTGCGTCTCCCTCCTGGCATTGTTATGTCACAGGAACTAGCGTTACATGAAACAAAGACACCATGTAAACTGTGAATGCGAATCAATATGCAATTTAGTTTGCCTGCAGGGCTGAATTATGTGACCACAGCCCATTCACAGGCCAACACTGACAACACTGTGGGGGGAGAAACTGTACAAATGTCTTCTTTTGTGCTTTTTATTTTCCCGCTTGATTGACGGCCTATTAGAAGCTGCAGGGTATCCTCAAGATAAAAATAGTCATTACTGGATGTCACTTCAAATGAGAGATCCTCCTCTACACGGACCATTGAAAAACAAGGAGGGCAAATAAGCTTTTCAGCCTGGATCTAATACGATCCTAATCTGTGGTTATAGAATGCAGAGATTGTTAAAGATGTGTCATAGTACTCACATGTTAGTGTTGGCTGTGGAGGTGAGCCACTCTCCGGCCAACCCAACGATGTCTAATCCAGTGGACAGCTGGTTAAAGAACCTGGGGTGGCCTGCAGCCATCGATAAAGAGACAACAAAGCAACAGAAAACAATTCATCATTTGAGATCCGTGATCATTACGCACAGCATGTAAGCTAATGAGAGTTATTGATCGTGGCAGGCCATGCTGCACCCCCAGGCCTCTCTCACCTGTCCTCACTCCGTATTTCAGGGTGTCTCTGCAGTCCACAAGGATCTGCTCCAGGGACTCTGGCTGCTCGGACAGCTCCAGGTTGAAGCCCTCCATGCCCTCCAGCAGCTGGTGGGGGTGGTGGAAGTCCAGGACCTTGGTGGACCGGTCGAAGGTCTTCTTGATGTAGTTGGTGAGGATTTCCACGACCTCCAGCAAGAACTGCATGGTTTGTTCTTCTCCATTTTTAGCAGGCAACAGATCTACAAATCCAAAAATATACATCCAGTATACTAATGTTTGTTCATGTCTCTTATGGTATAAACTAAATCTGAAACTTCCTATCATGCTGTTGATTTTCACAGGTATTTTTCACAAGTCACTGTGGAATTCAGTGGTGACTTCAGGGTTTCTCAACTGGCTAATAACTACTTTGACTCATTTGCATATTTTTAATCCTAATTTAAATCCTTTTAATGCTAAAACAAGCTTTAAAGCATAAATAGACAGAATGCATAGCACAATTAAAAAACAGTATGTTTCATTGCATCTATATAATTAATTTGTACCACTTGCTTGTTTAATTTTTAGAATCTTTATTTCTGTATTTTATTTTATTGTTTTGGTTAATTTCATTACATTATACTCTTAATTAAATGAGTCATGTTTAATTTGAAGTGGAAATGACACATTCAGCTTTACCTCTGGCGAACAGGTTGGAGAAGTCCGTCTCCGTGCGTCTGAAGCGCGCGTCTCCACCGCTGTTCTCGCAGGACAGCAGGTTCTTGGCCGCGCGCTCCTTGAGGGAACCCACGATCCTGCTCCTCTCCTCCAGACTGTTGTTCTTCTGCAAAAATCCTACACGGTTGCAGGAAGACGTGGGGTCCGGAGAAAACTTACACTTTGCATACATGTTGAGAGTTGCAGCTGTTTTTGTTCAATATACCACAACAGGCCCACTAATAATAATAACAAGCTACTCCTGCTCTCCCACTCCTTACATATACCCCTATGTCTCTCTGGCCCTGCTCTGGGGAATCTGGACTTTTCTGTCTCTATTTTTTGGGGGGGGTGTGAGGGTTGGGGAGTGGCCCCATCCATGCACTGGGAGTCCTATTCGGGGGGGGTTTGTTACATCAGGGAGGTTGTTACATCAGCACAAAACTCCAGCCAAGCAAACACAAATCACTGTGATCGTGTGGCGGCTGTAAATTCTTGTTAAAGCTCCTCCGACAATGTGCGCACTTCAGTGGGCAGGAAACCTCACAAGTGGTCCGATAACGGCCCAGGCAGCCCGGAGGTACATGCGAGAGGGCCGGTGATAAGAATACATGTGGATGCAATACATACATATGCGATACACACACGTGTTTATCACTAATACCTGAAGGAGAGACTATATAGCGCACAAGGAAATCCAGAAATCTCTCCTGCAAATTGCGCAACAAGCGACGCTTTGTTTTCCTTCTTGTGCCAAACCATTAAGAATGAAGCTTTATTTTATTTTATTTTATTTCACGGCCGCAGCTTGACATCAAATCCCATGTAATTAAATGGGCCCTTATCAAACCAGCTGATCGTGTCGGTCAAAAAAAAAAAAGCCAGAAAAACTGCGCTGGGCACTGAAGCGTGACATGCACCATTATGCTGGGTGTCAGTCCGTCCTTGGTCAATGGTGTATGAGATTCAAATAGACTCTCAAACTCCAACTCAGAGACAAATCAATGCTTTGACAGTTAATGCCCATTGCTCCCTAGCTCCCACCCAGTCTAAATGCTTAATCATTTAATAGAAGATTTTTCGAAATCAAATTCGTCCAAGAATTCGCGTTGTTCTCCATTGCGCAAAACCATGCAGGCCATGAAGCCTATCTCTGCTCTAATGCCAGATATGTTCTGTATTCGTGATAATTAATGTTTCTGCATAATGTTTATCAGAATTATATAATAATTCAAAATTGCAGACTTACCGCATATCTTCATTCCCAATTTTCTAGTACATCCATGCGCAACTCCACACCAAGCATCATAGCCTGAAATGATTATTCGTAAAGAAAACAATTAGGGGGCCTGATAAATGCTGGTGCTCTAAAAAGAAATCCATTGTCAGTTATTTTATCTGGAACAATAAAATGAATTGAAAAATGGGAAGTATATGAGGTCGAGTGCTGAAACAAAAATAGCCCCCAGAGTGGGTGTCTTGGGATTATTTTTGAACATTTAGTCGCTGCACTCCCCGGGCCCCTGTCTGGATTAGCCCACTTCCACTCAACGAGAATAACCGTTCATGATTTATAGGCTAGGGCTTAAAATTAATTAGGCTCTTACAGATCTAAGTGGGTGAGGAAAAAGGAAAAAGACAGAAAGATGCTGGTTAAATATGCGAGCATCAGTCGACAGGAGGCGGCTGCCAGGTGACAGATAGAGATTTACTGGCGTTATCAAGGGCTTCCAGCCAGAAGGGATGGGACACCTTGGATGGGGAGGCACAGACCAAATCCTGAAAAGCAGCAAATTTGGAGGAGGAGGAGGAGGGAGGGAGGGAGGGAGGAAGAGGAGGAGGAGAGAGGAGGATGGGTGGGGGGCAGTCCTATTCCCACACCCCAATTTAACCCTTGCTTTGGATCATTAGATAAATCATTGCCCTGCTCAGCTCATTGGACACATTTTAAGTCAGTCCTCACAATGATTTTTTTTTTGCAGAGGAAATTAGATGGGCAACGAGGAGAAAACCAAAAATAAAAAAAAGAGCAGATGTGCTGACAAATATCATCCAGGGCCAGATTATATGTAGGATGCATTTACAGAGCTGCAGCTATAAAGCAGGCTAATAAGGGCAAAACAGTTTATTTCTGCATGGGCCTAACACAATGGTTTTCAGCACACACATATTAATTGACGAGATAAAATAACAATTATAAGGTTTGAATATAATAATTTACTTTGTATTTTAATTTTTGTGTCAGGAGCACGTCTACACCTGGAACGTGATTTTCTAGACCTCCAGCTCATTCATCAGTGAGAATAAGGCTTATATAAATATATTATTATTATTTTCTACCAGTTGAAAGGGTCTGTGGTCTCTACAATGTTTAAGTGTGCCATTAGCAGCCATTTAATAAAAGTGAATTAACTAGCACTTGAGGGGCAATTATCATCCACCCCCCACTGCAGCCACTTCAATCTGCCGAAGCACATTCAGCCAAACCAAGGGGGGGGACAAAAGATAGAATAAAAAAATGTGAAATGCAAATATGAAAGCACTAATATGACTATATTCTAAGACTAATAATAAAATCATGACATTTATAATAACAGTTTTTCTTAATGCATCTTTATTTTAGCCTTTCTCAATAAGAAACCCTCCAGTGACACGACAGGAGCTCCCCTCAGTGTGGGAGATCAGGAACGGCATTCCTGTGTCTCTGACGCCGGGAGGTCCGCACACATGATGTGGGGGGGATGAAATGCAGCGGTGATTTGTGGCGGAGGAAGCCTTTTCAAATGGCAGTGGATTTTTTTTTCTTACCCCCCTCTCCCTCCCTCCATCCATCCCTCTCCTCTCTCTCTCTCTCCCCCTCGATGAGAGATGATGAATGGCGATGCCCACAAAGTAAATAGCGCACTGCACGTGAAACAGCATTTTGTCTGTGATGGACCTACTTGAGCCCGGTGGTCGTAAATTTGTCGAGTTGGGATCCGCTTCGCCGCCGCCGCCGGTGGTGGTGGATGAGGAGGTGTTGGTGGAGGAGGAGGAGGGTGCAGACGCCGCCATCGCTCCCGAGACCCTGTGCCAAAGTCCTCACCTCACAAAAAAAAATTGCCTGGACACTTTTCTTTTCTTTTAACCCCCCCCCCCCAAAAAAAATCTCTCCTTTATGATCCAAAGAGGGAAAAGTAAGGGCTCACTGGTAGAGAGGGAGAGAAAAGAGCACAGGAATCGTGCAGTGAATATGCGGTTTAACATTGAGAGAGATGTAACCTGACAAGGGCACAATCTGTCTGACAAGTTGAAATTCAATTGGTCCACACAGGAAGAGGAAAATTAAAAATAATAACAACAAATAAACAGTGGAGGACAAGTTAAGTCTCAACTATTCAGTGACAGGAGCAGCATCATATCTTCATCAGGCTGGAGGATGGAGCCTCGTGTTTTTCATTCAACAATAAACAGCACATACCTCATTAATTAATGCAGCTACAAATATCAGGAATATGTAAGAGCCATGTGCAAAAATATTAATAAAATAAAACAGCAGATGTTTGGCCTAAATGATTTGCAGTAAAAGAAAATATCAGTTCAAGGTGATTATTCCTTTATTGACTGTGATGCAGGTTGAAAAGACGACGTGCATCCCTCTCTAAAAACACTATGAGGATAAAAAGCAGCAACAGTTTCTACACATTCAATTTAAAAGCCAATTATGTCCCGACCTCTTATTTTAAAGGCAGCAGACCTAATAAAAACACCTGTTAGAGCATCTCCATCTCCATCCCCGTTCAGTGTTTGACTCTTTTTTCTTCAGTCATATCCAAAAATAGAGCAAAGCCACTCACCGTGATGGTGTGTATCCAGGTGAACAGGTGCATTCCAGTGGGGGAAAAGAAGATAAAGTGAATTTACCACCAAAATATTCCTGCACAAGGAAGAGGATGCTGCATGCGTGCGCTCTCTGGCACACTCCAAAAATAATAACAGCCCCGTGCTTCAGTTCCCCACTAGATCCATATCAAGGTGACCTTGCTGCTGCTGCTGAAGTAGATAAGGTTTGTTTAAAGCGAGCCTCGTCTTGTCTTGTTGTCACAGACGAGTCAGGGGATTTAGGCTGTGCACTACCTCCACCGGTGCATGCTGCAAGTCTGTGCACGGAGCAGATGCGTCCGCAGGCACAGGCAGTCTGCGGGCTCCACTCTGAATGACGCCCCTGAAGTGTGACTTTTCGTCTCTTTTTGGAAAAGTGTTATTGTCTCCGGGATCTGTGCAGCCCAGCTCCGGTTTGAATCCCGGTCACGAACGTGGACTTGAAGTTTGATGCCATGAGCAACACATTATACATGAGGAGGGATCTGGACGGAAGAGGGGAGGGAGGGAGGATGGAGGGAGAGGTTTTGTTCTTGTGTGAGCAAGGGGGAAAAAACAAGAGACAACAGAAAAGAGAGCATCACTGTCATAACCTACTGATTTAATTGTTTTCAATTATTTATTTCTCCACCCTCCCATCACGTGCACGATTGTGTCATCATTGGAAAAATACAGATCAATGGCAAACACTTCAAATACACTGATTTGATCTACTCGGCTTGTTGTTAGATATTCACCTGTCACTTACATTTTATTCTTTTGTAGTATGTGTGCACTCGGTGGTGTGAGGATGCAACCTGCATGATGACACAGAGAGAGCACGAAAACAACCACAAGGTGGCAGTGAGAAACCAAGAATGGCTTTTATACAACAGCTCAAATGGGCCATTCCAGAAATACACCACCAAGCTAATTATAAACCGGAGCCATTAATGTGGAACACGTCACCATCTTACATGAACACAGGGACATGCACAAAGAGACAACCAATCACAATCAAAGGTCACCCATGGAGTCTCCAAGCAGGAGATTTGTTATGGACTGTGCTCCCTCCTCTGGTGATGGGTCATGATCAAAGATTACATCACATGTAGTCGGTCGCTGTCCAGGCCTGGCTCCTTCGATGACTTTCAGGCATTGATCAGGGGCTAGATTGAGCTGTTGACCCCTGTCGACCCTCTGCTTCACCCCTACTTACTTGATATTTTTGACTACATATTTTCCATTTCAGCACGTGTACATGGTGTACTTATGGTGTTGGTTGGTAGTGTTTTCCAATCAATGCTATATTGCACTGTATAGTCTGTACCATCCACCACTATAATTAAAGTATTTTTGTACTAATTAGCTTTCGCTCCATATCTGTTTCATTGTAGGTAAACTGAGGACAATGTAAACATTCCTTGTATGTGCACACATACTTGGTCAGCAAAGCCAAGTCTGATCCTGTTGTGCCTTAAATTGTATATTTACATTGTTCGAGTACACACCTGCCCAGACTGTTTGTGCACTAAAGGATATGTGTCTGTTTTGACTGATTATCCCTCCTATTCATACTACATGGTCTCAAAGAATCCCTTCCTAATGTAAGTGATGACACTAAATCTACAGTCCTATTTCTGTGAACAATAAATGTTATGTTAAGCAGCAGACAGAATGAGGCTTCACCAGCCTGAGTTAGTTAAAGGTCCATTGTGTAAGATTTAGGTGAAAGGGATCTATTGGCAGAAGTTTGTGTAGAATAATCCTCATGATGTTTTTCACTAGTTCCTTCCATCTAAATTGTTTGAATTGTAGTTTTCTTTACCCAAGAAAAGGCCCTTTATATTTAAATACTTTATATTTACATCGAGGGGACCCTCTCTATGGAGGCCGCCATGTTTTTTACATTAGTCGAGACTGGAAAAACTAAACACCTTTTGAGTTTTTATGACAACTGAAGGTTTCCACAGTTTCTTTTTCATGTTTGGAAGGAGAGAGTGAGGTGAGGGGTGTTCAGCTGCAACATGACACTTCAACACTAGATGTCACTAAATTCTACACACTGTACCTTTAAGTCAAGGTAAAACTTTAAAAGTGTCAATCTTTCTATGACAACATTTCTAATTTATCCCACAGATTGGAAAGAAAACAATGTGGAAACACAAAGAGAATATTATACTGAACTGTACCAGAGTGACTAAGAACTCAGCATATAATAACAAACATAAATATGTGAGAATTTGTGTATGTAGAAATTAAAATTTCTGAGCTGACAGTATATTTTAAGGCCTTTATTATTTCAGTTTATATAATGCTTTAGAAATATGTAATGTAATGATCAAATTACCACAGAGATATCATCAAGAAAAACTATGTGACGTGAGGGTCTAGGGCCCCTGGCTGTTTCATTTGGTAATTCAACCTTTGTGCCAATAGGTCTTTGTAAACCCCCCCCCCGCCCACCCTCTAAAATACAACAATAAAATCTGTGAAAAATCCAAAGAGAAAGGTTGTGATGATTGTTGTCGCCAGTAGCTGTATGAAACTGTCCACAAGGTGGTGTATAAGCCAAACCCAGAGATTGTGAATGAAAGAAAGAGAGGAGGGGGAGTCACTGAGAGAGACTATTACTTTGTGATTATTTTCTCTGTAGTCTGTGGACAAACTCTCATTTAAACATGACTAATTGTCTGAATTGCCAGTAACCGAAAATAAGCCTGTGACAGAAAAATAAAAAAAAACTCCTTGCGGGAACAAACTTCTGGTAGTGCTCTTGTTTGTCTTTGAGCCTGCAGCTGTCAGTGAATTACAAGAGCAACATACAAATCTGGCTTTAAACACAATAATAACTCTGCCTTAAGTCCTGTAACAACACAAATCATGATGTTTAAATAAAAAGAGGTAAATAAAGTTATTCATGTGGCAATTTACGAAAACAAATGGATGAATTAAACTCATGGCACAGATTAATTGCAGTGAGGATTAAGAATGAAATAGGCTAATGATGCTACTGTGTGAAAACTTTAGTTTGATCACATAGCAGGTGATGCTGTGATACCATCAGCAGTAATGTTCTGTGACAGCTCCAGGGCCATAGTCAGAATTTTAGAGGAGCTGGGGCCATGTGTCCAAATGCTCCCAAACCAAAAACAGAGCTGTATTTTAATCATATTTGTGTATGAAATAAAGTGCATGGAGCAAGTGCAAGTCTACATACACTTTTGCTACTTTAAAAACAGAAAAGATTTTACCAGGTTTTGGCTGGTTGCTTTCCACTGCCTAAAGGTTTCAATGCACCAACAATGCATTTGACCAACATGCTCAGGGGCTCAGATAGTACAGCCGGGGCACTAAACAGGAAAATGAAAACGCCTTTATTCTTAAACTATCAAAGGAATTGCACCATGCTGGGTGAATATAGTACTGTTCTTGTGATGGAGTAGAAGAGGGTGGCATGGTGGGAGAGTGGCTAGTACTGTTACCTCATGCCAATGTGGTTCTGGGCTGGAACCTGTTGGTTCAAAGACATGCAGGTTAGGTTAATCAGAGAGTCTAAATTGGCCTTAGGTGTGAATGTGAGGATGCAAGGTTGTTTAACAAAATGACTGACTAATGACCTGTTCAGGGTGTACTCCACCCCTCACCCTCAAAGGATGGATGGTTGGATGAATGGATGGATGGATGGATGAATGCAAGGATGGCTGGTGAGTCAAGTACTAGCACATTGATATTAACTTTTTAGTCTGATGCACCACTGTATTTAAGAGGGTTTGAAAACAATATGATAAATAACCAGCAGCAGCTTATAGCATTCACTAACAGGCCTTTCAGCTATGAGCTATTAATCCAGGCTTTGAGAAAAATTTGTATTAGTTGCTAGCTGTAGTAGTTGTTTTAGTTGATTTGTTAAGAGTAGGACACAGACACAGTATATAGGAACACAGTCCAGGCAAATATAATGCATGAATAATTTTTTTTTGTAAAGACAGAAATTTTCCTTATTAATTTGAGGGTAACATGAACATAACTTATAAATCTGTTTTTTTTTTTTTAGCTCAAATAGGGTCAAGGACAAAGTGTAAACAAGCTTTAATGCTCAGGGGATGAAAACGTGTCCACAGGGAGTTTCTGGTTCAAGTACCCTCACTGCGTTTTATTACTGGGCAAACACTGTGAAGCTATGTACATGCTTATCTGCATCTAAACATATTTATGTATTCAATAAAGAGATGGAAATCAGTTTTGAAGAAAAATCAGGTTTTAATTAGACTTTAATCACTGTGTACTGATGTATTAAACATGGAGCTCAGCGTGAGAGCGACTCTGTCTGACCCCTCACATGTAAGTCTCCATTCAAGAGTCACCATTTTAATCAGAACTGGCATGAAATTTCATCTTTATCATTTTAACAGTTTTATACGTCTAGAAATAACAATTCAAAGTTAGAATCCAATTTAACAATTTTTCATGGTTTAAATACCCGGTACCCCCTTTTTTCTCCTTAAAAGCCAATTAAAATATGCAAAAGTACAATCCTTTAATTTTCTCATAAAAATGTAAATGACTCAAAATGGCTGGTTACAATCAGAGGAATTATTCAACAATGGAAAATAAATCTTCGTGAAATTATAGAGCAATGTCATCTGAGTCTTTGTTGAAGTTACATGTGTAGATTAAATGAACAAAAGAACAACAGGGATTTTATTTGTTTCAATTTCTCCCGCTGTTATTTGTACAATTGGATGAGATGTAATGTGTGGTCATCTCAATTACACAACAGGAGGTTTATAGTGTTTGACTGAATGAGTCTGTTGTGTTTGAATGTTTCTCTTGTGGGACATGAAAACCTCCCATCACCTCTCACTGCTGCAGACACTTGAAGCTGCAGCTAAAAGTTAAGAACATTACGAGTCACTTTGCTGAATCACAGCATTTTCTTCACTTCAAGTCAAAGATTTCAAATCACTGACCGTAGAGTTTGTTCACTTATATCTTAATCAGGATATCACACCATTTGCCACTTACACCTCAACATGTACAGCAGTAAGAAAATTCATAAAAGTTCACAATAGCTTTCATTGTCTGATTCTGTTGCAGACATTTTAAATATGATGATTGTCCATGACACAATCTGACATCCACATCAGCAGATCAACATAAAGGGTCTCTGACTTCTGTAATTATTACTGTTGAAGAGTAAATCAGCATTGGGGAAGAAACCCAAACGTCATGGTTTGGGTTTAAATACACACATTGTTAAGATTTAACACACAATTTCTTTTGGGTCAAAATAAGTACTTTGCAAAGGTTAGGGTCTTCGTCATGGCAACATTAAACTGTTTGGAAACAATCGTGGTCACTGTTGACATCCAACACACCATGTATTTATATATACTGTTTAGCACAGTCATTGTCGTGACATATTGCCATAATGCTGATCGTATTGCCAAACAGCATTTCAACATTTCATCTACTCAACAGGAATTCACTTCTTCTTACCGGTGGCAGCAGTGCACAACTCAAGCATAACTGCTTTTTTTAAGCAGAAAAGAAGAATTGATTGAATTGCAATATAATTGGGTTATTTGGCCACTTTCAATTGAATCTATCCAAACCATCACTACATGAATGAGAGTTAATGATACCAACAATGATATGACCAAAATTTTCCCAAATCTATTTCGTACATAGTCCAGCTTCAGCTAATGGAGTCAACATTCATTCATCAAATGTATGAACTGTTTTTACTCTGCCTACTGAATGTATAGCAGCAGCTGCCAAATCTGAGGCACTATATAATTATCCTCCATTGATACAGCCATTTACAGTGGTTGACATCAGGATTTAAATCATGCAACAGCCTATCAGTCATTTTATTTTGACAGTGTGTGTGAAGCCAAAGCCACAGTGAGGTCATTTCATGTGTGATGAAAACATCTGACTGGACCCCATCTCTAAACCTCACATGACCACAAAGAATTATTCCATTTTTCATTTGAAGGTCTCAATCACTGTTTTTAAAATGATTCCTAAACATGGTGTTAATCTTTTATCATTTCAGCCCAAACCAAGTTCCATTTAGCATGCATATCAACATTTACATAAACACTTAATATGTAGTTTATAAAAGGCTAGAATGCAGTTCTAACCAGATCAAAGGCATATTACTGTATTTATTGCTGTAGAGTTTTCTACAGTGTGTTATAGACCATGCA